TATATGCAAAGATTGGAGGGTTGCTGTATTTTAACAGCGTACTCTCTCTATCCTGCTATCTGAAAGAACAGGCTCATTCTTATTTCATATATTTGCAAAGATTGGAGGGTTGCTGTATTTTAACAGCGTACGCTCTCTATCCTGCTATCTGAGTTTAGTTAACTTTAAAGAAAGAAATGACTCATAAAAAAGGCGGTTATATTTTTCACCCGAAAAGGCTGGGGGTCTGAATGGGGCTCGACAAGGTTTCGATATTTTCAATGCGTTTGCTTATGGTTAAATTAACAGAATGGACAAGCTCATCAAAAAACATTTAAATTCATGGAATTCAAAGTATTACTAATTTATTTATTATCAGAAACTGAAATATTACGCCTGTTTTACGTTCCTTGATGGAGTCTTCTGTTAATTTCCGAAAATTGTCTTTTGTCAACGGAATAGTTCCATCCCTAGTCTTCTCTTCTCAATATCTTGAGCTTTACTCTCCCCATCATTCTTTAAAAGTACAACAATCAAAGTTTTAAAAATTAAATTTTTCAAAAATTGATAATTCTAAATTTTATCTATTTCTTTAAAAATATGTCAATTTGAAATCAATGTGAAGACGACAAAAATAAAAATGGTGATGAGGAAGGGAACAAATAAGTAGATAAGAAAAAAATAATATTCAAAATGTTTTGCCTAAATTTCTTTATTAGGAATTTAAGAATGTCAAGCCGCAATTTATTGATAGAAAAAATCCACTATCAGAATCAAAATAAGATTAAATGCATAATGCATAAATGCAATATGCATGAATCTGCACTATGCACTGTACTTTGCATTATTATTTCTGCAGTTTTTTTTACAAAACTTTAGAACTTGTTTCTAAAATGACAAAAGTGCAATCATATTAGTATTCATTTTTAAATTAGAAACACGTTTTGAAATCATTTATAAATAGTTTAATCTGAGATGTGTCTTTATAGAAATTAGAAGATTACAGTTATTTACAATGAAGCAATATTCTTAATTGTCAAGCATACAGTTTAATCCAGAACTTCGGAGCAATCGATAGAAATTATAAAATGTCGTCTTGGCAATTTTTCAATGAGTTTTATAGTGTTAATTACACCGATATGTCAGACATATACAATATTTTAAAAATTCTTTCGATGTCTGAATTAATCTGTAATTTTTATTATTTAAACACTTGCCTGAAACTCACATTTGTTTCTCCTGATATCCTTGACCTTTAAAGGGAGTGTTCGCGAAAATTGAAAGGGGGTATAGGCTTACGGTGAAAAATAAGCGCTTTTGATTGCTTATACTAATCTTATCGTATTTAGTTGATATTTCATAATATTTTTATATTTTATGATCTAATAGTTCCTTTTGAAAACAATTATTCCTGTTTCGAGGATTTTCATAAAGACGACATTTTCATATTTTCCAGGAGTGTTCGACAATCCAGCGTCAGTGAAATATTATTTTAAAAACATAATCAAAAATATCATGAAATATTAATTATAAACGAATTTTTCTCTCAGAGACGCAACAGAAAGAAGTACGATTAGTAGCGTTAAAAAGCGCTTATTTTTTGTGAACACTCCCTTTAATGTTTAGAATTAAACCTTAAAAGTTTAAGACACATAAAAGAGTTTAACCATCAGATTTGATAGCTATAGAATATAATGTTTGTTAATACTTTTAAAATGAAAAGTTTGCCTTTAAAATAAATCATTTCAAAAATAATGTTTCAGAACTAGTTAAAAGTTTATTTAAAAATGGGTTTGGAGATCAAGATGAGGTACGTATAGAAAAATCTAAATAATCTTTTCGATAGCCACATTTGTTTTATGTCAGTGATGTCTGCGGTAATCTTCATAAAAGGGCATGATTTTTGGTGTAATGTCACGATTTGTCGTCTTTACTCTGTGTTAGAGTACTGTATACACATAGATCCAGATTGCTATGAAAACGTTACTACTAGATCGACTTTAAAGTGTTGCGACGTCTTCGGAACCCCTTGGCCTTTGATTTTACCTCACTAGCTCACTTATACTTTTTTCTAGCCTTAGACATATTTGAATTATGTAGTACTTGAGCTATAGCTTTAGTATTTATGAAGTAATTGGCAAAACTCTCAACGATTTGAAAATAATAACTTGCAACCTTTGGCTCACTGTGATGTACAATAAAAAGACGGTAAAATTCTTCAATTAAACCGGGGCCGGAGTTTTCAGTGGTGTTACTTGTTGAGACACGTCTTAAAGTTCAGACTAGAAGGAAAAGGGGGAAAAATAAGTTTTGTAAAATACAATCT